AGTGCAGCTGGAGAAGGTCTCACCTCCTCCAGCCACAGCATCCCTTGGGTACCCAAGCTGAAGCTCTCAAGCACTGAGTCCAACTCCAGCTGCTGCTTTCCAATCTACAAGCCCCTTCCTGTACAAGCTGGACCAAAATGCTCTGGACCACCCACAGGGGTGTGTGCTGGGGCCAGGTGGGTGCCCAGGGATGCAAAAGTGGGGGAAGGAGAGCAGCCAGGAGGGGGAAGAATGGGACTGACAGGTTATGGGGGACCACCAGCCACATTGCCCAATGCACAGCCACAGCGTGCAGGGTGTTTTGCTGCCCAGGTCCCTCTGCAATGTGCCAAGGGTTGTCCTGACCCCCTTGCCTCCTCATCTGCATTTACCCAGTGAACCACTTTGCTGAAATACCCAAAGGCCACGAGCGGACTGGTAGCCTTAACCTTTTCTTTGGGAAACCAGAATGGCTACAGAAATCCCCGGAATGCCTCTCCATATCCCCGATGGAGCAGGGACAGTGCCCCTCCACACAGCCAAGAGATGCTCTCGCCCCAGATTTTCAGTGCCCTTCTAGAAGCCTGGGCAAATCATGTGGGCCTCCAAATGAAACCCACCACTTTTGTTTAACATTTGCTGTACTCGGTGATGAAATGATGATGGATTATTTCGTTGTGGTTACCAGCGTGCCAGACTTCTTTTTCCAAACACACAATAGGAATATTCATTTACTGCTCTGACTACGAAAGCTTTTATCCTCCTTATATAGTAACAACTCTGCACCAAAGGGCAATTTTCATTTGTCACTGATACACTTCACCATCCTGGCTCACAGCCCCATGGTTGGCAGGTTATTAATGGGTGCCCAGAGCTTCTCTGATTTATTATCAGCCTTTTCCAACTTATCCCACCCGTGCTGCCATCCAGCCACCCCACCCAGAGGGGCACAGCATCATTCAGGGCACTATGAGAGGGCTGGGGCAACTCTCTGAGGGGGAGAGGGGATGCAAATCCGGGGCTGCTACCTCAGAGGTGAGCACATGAGATGCAGGACAGGGATGCAACGGGATGGTGAGGGGGCCAGGAGCAGCAGCGTGAAGGGACTATGCTTTCAGATCTGAAGGTGGCAAATCCAAAGCGGATAAAAGGAAGCGTGTTTTTTTTTCACTCCATGCTTAATTAGGCTGCCACAGGAAAACACTCAGGCCAAAATTTAGCAGGATTCAAGGAGGGATTGGGCATTTATGGGGATAACAAAAATATCCAGCTATAATAGCGGATGCCAACACAAATTCTGGAAGGGATATTAAGCCTCACGCGTCAGGGTGTAAACCTATCCCAAACTCTCAGAAAGTAGGGAGCTTAATGCAGGGGCAGATGATCCACATACGCTACCGCTACCGCTGCCGTGGGGGGAGCCACTGGCTGGACCTTCCCCGGAGCCCTGTTTCCTGCTGCTGGCAGCGCCTCTGAAGAAGGCTGCAAATTTCTCTTGGCAATTCAGCCCTCTGCTTGTAGCTCCCCGGGGCCGTGTGGCTCCCAGGGCTCTGACCCCCTCCACCTCACCCATCCCCTTGCTTTGCCTGCTGATAACAGCCTTATCACTTCAACCCAGAGGCAGCCCCTCTGGGTAAGGGTCTGTGCAGACCACAGGCACATCCCTGGGTGGTATGGCATCTTCCCATGGCTTCTTGCTTCCAGTGAAGCCCCTTGTTTCCCTCGCAGGTCACTTGTTGCCCAAACACACCTTTGCCTCCTGATTTCATCCCTCCTGTTCCCTGTTTCTGCTGGGGCCAGTCTCCAGCCTCTGAAAGGGGCTGCTCAGCTCCAGCATCTTGTGGGTGCTGCACATACACGGGCACAGCCCTGTTCTCTTGGGCACTGCTCAGATGAGCCCTGGGTCATGGGTGCATGGTGCAGAGGGTGCATGGTGCAGATGCATGCTCTGCACAAGGGTGCAGAGCCTTCCTCGCCCACTCCGCACCAGTGGCAATCACTGTACTGCCGACTTTTGGGCAAAAAAACCCACTGTCACCCCCAGTCCATGCGTGGCCACAAGCCTGGCATGGCCGTAGCCGAGGCTGTGGTGAAACTGTCATGCTGTGGTACCCAGGAGCTGGGCGCGAGCATCTCCTTCTCCGTCTCCGCTGGGGATGCTGCCAATTGCATCCCACACTGGTTGTTAACAGGACTCCTATGCCACTCCAGTCCCTGTGAGATGGGATGCTCCCAAAACCTTGGCTGCTGTGAAGGATCAGAGATGGCTCAGCATGACCAGAGGGGAGCCTGGAGCTCTCCTGCTCAGGGGCCAGGGTCTCCCGCACTCACCGCTTGCGTGCTCACCACACTGCCGAGGGCAACCCCGCCGGGGTCCCTTGGATCTCCCCTCGCTGTGGAGCCTTGCACCCACAGGGGCTTCCAACTGGAGACATTTCTGGAGGGCATGAATCAGCTTTTCACAGCTTGTTAAAAATCTTGATCCTACCTCTTGTTTTCATGCCTTTCAAATCAGGAAATGAGTTTTACAACTTTTCCAGTGGGGCACAGCTGGTGGCCAGGGTCGTAAAGCTGAACTTTATAAATATCTCTTGTTGGGATCAGGGGAAGAGCATTAAAAAGGCAGAGAGAGAGAGAGAGAGAGAGAGAGAGAGAAGGGAAAGGAGCAAAGGCATTAGAGAAGCAAGGCAACCTCAGCGAAGAAGCCCAGCTCAACGCCAGCCATGGCCATGCGACCGCAGAAGATGGGATGGGCTTGGGGCAGGCTTTGCCTGCTGCTCTCCCTCCTCCTCCAGCTGCCGGGCTCCCAGGCCAAATGCTACTTCCAGGCTAAAGGTAAGCCAGGCTAAAGGTAAGCAGGGAGGTGAGCCGGGAAGATGCTGATGGGAAGAGGAGGCCTCAGCTTTTCCCCGGGGCGGCAGGGCTCTGCCCTGCGTGCCTGTGAAGCGTGTGCGGAGCTCAGGAGCACGATCGTGGGCCAGTGATGAGTGGAAGGAGCAGTCTATAAACCACAGAACAGCTCCCCAGGGCTCTGGCTGAGAAACAGCTCGCTGGGCCATGAAGAGCTCCTGGCAGGAGCCCGGCTGGGACCGAGCGTGCAGCACTAGGAGCAAAGGGAGGAGGGCTGCCCATCTTTCCTCTGCTGCCTCCTTCCAGGGCTGCAGAGATGCTCAGACCCCAAGGGGCACTGGATATGCCCTCTCCAGGGAAGCATGAGCCACTTGCCTCCCCGCCAGGCCCCTGGGGCAGTGGGGAGAGCCACAGGGCATGGCCAGGAGAGGATGGATGGGAGCATCACCCTTGGCAGATGCCTGGGCATCCCATACCTGCAGGGTGGCGGAGAGACCACCAGGTATCTTCTGTACCATGGGGCGGATGGGAGGTCATGAAGTGCCCCCCTATTCCCTCTTTGAGGGTGGAGTGGTGCCAAGGAGGCTCCCATGCTCCCCAGCGCAGGCCCATGTGTGCTCATCGCCGCTGTTTCCTTTGCAGCTCCCTGCGAGTACGAGGGGAAGCAGTTCTCCCTCGGGGAGTCGTGGCTGAGCACC